CCCACTGGCCCCAAAACTTTTTTTAAAAAGTGTACACACATTTAAAAACACAAACCCATTGTATGTGTTGCTTAATAATTCATGATACAAAGAATGCTACAAATGGAGTTTAGGATCTGATGAAGCAGCAGCAAAAACCAAGCGTTAAATGGCTTAATATGACTTGAAAACTTTTAGATCATGAAAAAGTTTTATTGTTGGCTGTTAATGAAAAGATACATGTGGAGAGGGTTCTGCTCAGCATGTAGTCGGACCTTACCCACGGGAGCAGTTCTCTCACGTATCCTAGATATCCTAGATATCCTTTGGTTTCTAACATTTGAAGATTTCTGGTAATGGGAGTCCAACGACTTACAATATTCACTACTGGCAGAAGCCAGTTCCAGAGAAGTTAATATCCCTGAACTCTCCACTACCCCAAGGTGACTCATCCGGTCAGCCCGTCAACTCTGCATTGCATGGCCTCAACAATGAAATAAAAACACACACTTAAACCTTCAGAGGCTCCGCTGTCCCTGCAAATGTGTCACCTCGGATCTATTAGAGCTAGCCAACTTTCCAGGCTTATCTTAAGCAATCGTCACAAAATCACCGATGTCGGAGCCAGCCAGGCCATGTAATCAGTGAAGCGCTTTCACGCTTATCAGACTGTATTAAAGCCCCTGCCTCCCAGATCTGTTCACAAGTCCCCACGGCGGGGAAGCCTTGCATTTCCTCTTCATTACGCACTTCGTCCAAGATACCATCGACCCCTGCATTGAGCACTTCAGGCTCAAACCACGATCGCACAGTTCGGGAGAATCTACCCAATGAAGGAAAGGCCGTTTCTGACGCGGAGGCGCTCAGACACCCGGCTGGCTACCGTCCTCCACCTCCACCGGCGCCCTCGGCCCTCGCCGCCGCACGGCTGGGCGGTGCCTACCCGGCCCGCCCGGCCTCCAGGTTTCCCGGCATGCCCCGGCGCCGAGGAGGTGGGGAGAGGAGGTCACCGCGCCTGCGCGCTGGGAGGCGTGACCCGGGTGGGAAAAGCCTCCGCGTCCGCCATTTTGGCTGCCTCTGTCGGTCTGTTCAGTTACCACGTGAACCGCCGACGGAGACCCGTGGGGGGGAGGCGGCCGCAGCGTTAAGTGAGAAAGGAAAAAAGACAACGAGGAGAAGGGGGGTGGCCGGGTAGGGCGACGCGGCGACACGCGAGGCCTGGCGGCGGCGGCGGAGCGGAATATTCAAGACTGAAGCAGTCAGGGAACGGC